CATGCATTTGGGAGGTAGACACCCTGGTCCCTGTTTATTGCTGGTTTTGTCGTTTGATGAAGATAGCCTCAATCAACTTGCCTTTCGCCAGTCACTGATGTTTTTGAGAGAGGACTTCAGTTTCCCAGTCAATTTCATGATCGGGATTATTCATAATGTGTTCAGAAACTGCAGATTTCAGATCTGATTTGTCCACTGAAGTTTTGTGTTCTTTCACGCGTGTAGCTACTGGTCTGCCTGTCTCACCAATGTAGATGTCACCACAGTCACATTTCAGTTTATACACACAGCCTTTAGGGTTGGATATAGCGTGATTGCACCCCTTACCATTTGCGCGTAGCAAAGTTTTAAGGGGTTTGCCAGACGAGAAAGTGGTGTCAATGCTGGCGTTTTCTTTAGGAGTTTGCTGACTTGGTGGCTGATGGGCCCAACATACGGGATGTTGATGCGGATGGGAGATGGTTCAGGTTTTGGAGGAGGCTGAACTTGATCTTGTAGTGTTTTCTTTATGGTGGTTTCAACAAGGTTCTTTGGATAACCATTGTATGTGATGAATGTTGTCATCAGGTGGTCTGTTTCTTGTTGCAGTAGGTCAGGGCTACAAATCTTTTTCGCGCGTCTCGCAAGTGTGGCAACAATTGCTCTCTTGATTTGGGGATGGTGGTTTGAGTGATAGTGAATATATTGGTCTGTGTGGGTAGGTTTCCGATAGACCGACGTGATGAGCTGGTTGTTTGAGTTGTCAATGACGATGTCCAAGAAAGGGAGGTTGTTATGCTGTTCTGTTTCCATCGTGAACTTAATTCTAGGGTGTTGATTGTTGAGGTGATCTAGGAGTGCATTGGGGTCATGATGGTTGTCTAGGATAAGACAATACCCTACCTCGTCACTGTTCCCATGTATAAAACATAATTTCTATGTATACACTGCTATTACTTTACATTCTATACATTTATAAATACGTCTCTGTACATTTCTAATTCAATCAACAATTTTGTAAAAGTATCTGCTCAGTTCTAAATTGATCCATTAATTTTGCAGTAAATGACATCTTATATATTCATAATAACATGTATTCTATTAGCCATGTCATCTGTATCTATTGACCACCACATGTATTGCGTCATCATAGCATTGTGACGTCATAAGCATTGTGACGTCACGGCCAGAGTTAACAGTTACTGTTCAGTTTACCTGATGATGGGGCCAGAACAAGCCCTGAAACGTTGTACTCGAGAATAAAAAGAAGATGTAACCCAGAAAAAATCTCTATGTTCAACATTTGTAAATATTCTAAGTACAAATTGTAATTTTTAAATGCAGATTATAATTGTTCATATAGCCTGAACTAATTATATTACATAAATGATTGGAAAAAGTTGGGTTTTTTTTAACATCTATATGTGAAAGAGATGGAACTCTTGTAGTAGTTATATTCAAACTAATTACGTAAAAAAGTCTTGATTCAAATGACATAGATAATCTTGTTCACCCAGAGAAGTTTCACTTCGTGTATGAGCACTGAACTGGCAACATGCGACTTGATATCTCAGCAGAACAATTAATTTCAAATTTATACCAGTATTTCATACTGGAGAAACAGAGGGGGAAACCTCGCGTCAGCTAGGACAGGGTTTACTATAGAATGTGTAAAGCCCTTAATTATCCCCCGCAGCGCGTTTTGCGGGATTTTAAAATGGACTCCGTCCGTCCGTCCGTCCGTCCGTCCGTGCACATTTGTCCTTTCCGGAGCACAACTCTAAAACCGTTCAATATTTCTTCACCAAACTTGGCACATACATGGATCTGGTGGTGTACTGGTGCCTTTTGGTAGTTTTTGAATTCTGAATTAAATATTTTTGGCGTTTCCATGGCAAAAAGGTCGACTTTGACTGAAATTGGTGGTAGTGCTCTTTTCCGGAGCAGAACTCTAAAACCGTTCAATATTTCTTCACCAAACTTGGCACATAGATAGATCTGGTGGTGTTCTTGTGCCTTTTGGTAGTTTTGGAATTCTGAATAAAATATTTTTGGCGTTTCCGTGCCAACAAGTTCGACTTTGACTGAAATTGTGGTTGTGCTCTTTTCCGGAGCAGAACTCTAAAACTTTTTACTATTTCTTCATCAAACTTGGCACATAGATAGATCTGGTGGTGTACTTGTGCATTTTGGTTGTTTTGGAATTCTGAATAAAATATTTTTGGCGTTTTCATGCCAACAAGTTTCACTTAGCCTGAAATTGGTGGTTGTACTCTTTTCCGGAGCAGAACTGTAAAACCATCCACTATTTCTTCATCAAACTTGGCACATAGATCTGGTGGTGTACTGGTGCCTTTTGGTTGTTTTGGAATTCTGAATAAAATATTTTTGGTGTTTCCATGGCAACAAGTTTGACCTAGACTGAAATTGGTGATAGTGCTCCTTTCTGCAGCAGAACTTTCAAAACCCTTCAATACTCTCCTTCTACTTTTCTATATACACACCTAAATATTTGACATAATCATAACTCGTAGACATAATCATGAAGAGTATTTTGCCATTGCGGGGTATATTGATGACTTTGTCTTCTTGTTTGACATTTAGTCAGGGTTCAAAGCTGTAAACAAATCAGTTATCTCAGGGGTCGTGTCAAAATCAAAACCAAGTAGGAAACACAAACTGGATAGCTTTGATAAGGGTATCATACGACATGCAGTTTGTTAAATGCATGAATGCAAAACACCACCGACGTGTGCTAAAATACAAGATGAGATCAAAGATACGATAAAAGTCTCGAAAACAACACTTATTGAAGCTCTGGTAGAAATGGGGTTCAGGTACACCAAAAGGGGAGATGACAGAGCTGTGTTTAGAGAAAAGTATTCAATCCTGTCCATGCGATCAGCTTATCTCAGAACAGTTGAAGAATACCGCAATTTGTGGTTTCAAATCTTATACCTTCATGAAACCTGGTGTGATAAAAAATCACTCAACCGATCGGATGTGGCTTCCTTCCGATTGTTCTAAGGCACCAGTGTTACCATCAGGCAAAGGTAGATGCCTGATCATCTTGCATGCTGGGGGTTGTGACTTTGTTTTTAAAGTCAAATACATGTAATCTGATGGTGATTACCATAGCGAAATGAATGGGCAGGTATTTTTGGATTGGTTCAAACATCAGCTTTTACCGCAGCTGGACGGACCAAGCGTTCTCATTTTGGATAACGTTACCATAACCTGCGTGTCCCTGGTACCATCACACCCACCATGAGCAATCTCAAGGCTCAGTTGCAGGATTTTCTCACTTCCTGTAACGTGCCTTACAGGCAATCAGAAACAAAGCCCTAGCTCATGGCAAATATCCGGCAGCACAGAAAGCCAATCCAGTACATCACTGACGAACTAGCTGCAAAACAAGGCCACATAGTTCTGCGTACACCAGTACGGCACTGTGAGCTCAATCCCATTGAGCTGATCTGGGGTAACTGTAAGAATTTTATTGCTCGTAATAATACCACATTCAAGCTTTCAGATGTTAAAGATCTTGTCAATGCTTCTTTTGCGAGAATTACCCCAGAAGTGTGGCAAAATGCTGAAGACCATGTTCTCAAAATCTAGGACGAATACCGTGTGCGGGATGCCGTTAACGTCAGCTGAGTTGCACCTGTTGTAGTTCCGCTAGAGTCCTCGACCAGCAGTGATACTGACACTTGATATTTTGAGATGGTCCCTGACATGTACTGCCCATGCATTACATGGGTCACAGTATAGTTTGTTTATTAGAAGTGTTTCTACCATGGAATTTTTTAATGACCGGGTTGATTCCCCACATGGGATATTTAAGCCCATTTCTGGTGTCCCCGCATTGATAATCAATATGATTAGGGTGAAACTAAACTAGTCAGTCAGTTTCTACTCATATGCCATATTAGTTTCGAGATGAAATATCCAATCATTATGATTAGGGAAAGGTACACATGATTACTCATATGCCATATTATATCCACCATTATCAAATACATGTAATTGCCAAAAAGCAATTTCCAAGCTTTTCTGGCCTTACTTCAGTGAATTATTGTGTGGGCTATTAACTTTCATGCATGGCTAGCCTGACTGACTTGCTAGCAAAATTTGGAAACTATTTCGCTCACTGGTTAGATGGCCATTTGATCAGTATGAATACAAAGCTGTTGAAGGTAGCATGAGGGTCCCAGTCGACTGAGGCCACATAATTCTCTGTGCAGAGTTGTATGTCTTGTTCACACTAGATTGATTTCAGACTGTCGTCAGCTGGAAAAGTGCTGAGCAAACTAATTAAGCGAACAAGCAACATACTATTAATGCGTTATGGATTACGTTTGAGTCAGTTTACTGCTCAATACGATCATTCACACTCACGTGACTGCCGCTTCTTAGCCAAACTGTAACCACTTAATATCATCAGTTTAACTCTATTAAATGTATAGCAAACTATATATAACATAACATCTTAATGATTCCTGGACCGTGACTGTGGTTTAGTGGTTAGAGCGTGGACCCCGGAGAGCGGAAGGTCGTGGGTCCCCAGCTGCGTCATACTAAAAGGTGTTAAAAAATATGGCACTTGTTGGTCCCTGCCTGGCACTCGGCACTGATGGGTACAACAAGGACTGGTCGGCTTGGAGTCAGTATAATGTGTCTGAGTCGGGTATTCATCCTTGTCTGCTGCATGGTATCTCAGTGGGCTAGCACTATCAAACCAGCTTTAGTCTGGGCTAGTACATGCATGCACGTTAAAATATGATTGAAATATTCTCGAGTACAATGTTAAACGCCATTTCACCTCACCTCGCCCAATGTTTTCAGAATGTCTTACTTTCACTTTATAGATATCTGTACATGCCCAGCTGGATTTGATAATCGACAGAACCTATTATTGGAAAATTGGGGGTGAAAATAATAACAAAACTAACAATTTTTACTGTCACGATCCTGAGTGAACTGTGTGGACAAGTAAACCATCAATATATCTGTCTCCCCAGGCATCAGAACGTGGGCGACTGGAGTGTGTGACGGTACTGCTGGAGGCGTCCCCTGTCACCAGAACTGCACGTGATTCCCGAGGACGTACGCCGTCAGACTGCGCCAAGGATGACACCATAAAGCACCTGCTCTCCTGACTCACAAATCCAGTGTCATATGGTGTGTCTTACATTCAACATCGGACTAGTTCAAGCAGATACATGTTCATCGTTGTTAGATGGAATGACCTTGCACCGAACGTAATACAGTGTTTCACCTCACCTCACGTCGTCTCACCTCCCTCCATATAGCTGGAGAATTGCTGAGTGTAGCGTTAAACAAAACAAAACAAACAGACATGTCACCTCAACTCTATTGTTATTTTGTTTAACTCGAAATCCTATGAACATAACAACATCTTTACAGAACACAGTGTTTCATTCTTATATATTTATTCAGTCATGTCTTTTCGAGGGAAATCATAATAAATACAATATTTCATTGTTCACATACTGAGACGTTATGTTGTGGTGGTGCTGATGCTAGTATGAACGTCAGTGAGCCATGTGTGTTAACAATTCATGCAACATGGTTGTGTTGTTGTCAAAATGGCGATCTACAAACTATCATATGCGTCCATAATTATTTCAAATAATCAGGATTATTTTGACCGAAATAGCGCAATCATTACACGCATTCTGCTTGGTTTGTCGTATTTTCGCAAAAAACATTCAGCGATGAGTTGAGTCTCATGGCAATTTAAGGAAAGGGGTGAGTGGTGGCGAACATACCAACTCTAGCGGTGTTCCGATAAATTTAAATAATCGAAGATTGGTCGCAGTGACCAAATGACCAAAGAATCGATCACATTTTCTCATAATCGAACTCAAACGATTTTGGAACTTTTGTCTTGGTGTTTGAAACACTTGACGATGGAACATATCTTAGAAGTTATCAGGGCCTGAAAAAGTTTTAATTCTAAGAAAACTCACATCACTTACTGAAAGGTGATGACAGAACATTTCTTGAAGACTCCAGGAAGTTTATGTTCTTGATATATTAGTCATCACTTTACCGTGGCAAGTTGCATCATATTATACATATCTGCAATAACAACCTGGATAGGAAACACTGCAAAATGGCGCTAACCTTTTTTTTTAATGATTGCTCGTTTGTACTGAACCAATCATCAATTGTGAGACTTCGACCAATTCCCAACACAAATCAACTCATGAGACTACCTTTGCGTAATTGCTAATGCAAACGGATGTTCCAAAATTGTGTTAGATTATAAGAAAACATGATTGACTGCTTGGTCGTTCAGTCATTGCGACCAATCTTTGATTATTTTAATTAATCGGAGCACTACTAATAAGCAGTAGAAGTAAAAATACTCAGATACAGTAAATAAATTTCAGTGATACAGCCTACCAGTCTAAGACCAATGGATTTTAAATAGCATCATCAATATATATGATACATAGGGTAAACATACATATTTTTCACAAGGTTGGTTTTGTCTGTTACATTCCATAACCACTACAAGCTCATTCCAAGTCATGATTTGATTTATCTTAAAGACCCCAGTAAATTTTGGTTCCTAGCATGCTAATCATCCTTTAAAATCCTGTGAAATTTAAAAAAAAGCCTGAAAGAGCTACATATGTTTTTTCTTTCATTTTTTTGTGCATTAACAAACATAACAAGGAAATTTTGATAAATGATGCTAACAAATTATTTTCGATAACTGATCTGATAACTATTGAACCAGTTTTCAGTTTTTACCAATTAGCAACACTACTACTTTCTTTAGGTTGGAAGCAGATGGTTATATATGTACAAGGGCAATCTCCCCATACCCCGCCTTCCCCCAATCTATGTACTGTAGACTGACCCACTGCGTCATGTAAGTGTATACTGTAGACTGAACCACTAAATCATGTATATAAGTGTGTACTGTAGATTGACCCACTACGACATGTATGTAAATGTATACTGTAGACTGACCCACTACGTCATGTATGTAAGTGTATACTGTAGACTGACCCACTATGTCATGTATGTAAGTGTATACTGTAGACTGACCCACTACGTCATGTATGTAAGTGTGTACTGTAGACTGACCCACTACGTCATGTATGTAAGTGTGTACTGTAGACTGACCCACTACGTCATGTATGTTAGTGTATACTGTAGATTGACCCACTACGTCATGTATGTAAGTGTGTACTGTAGACTGACCCACTACGTCATGTATGTAAGTGTATACTGTAGACTGACCCACTATGTCATGTATGTAAGTGTGTACTGTAGACTGACCCACTACGTCATGTATGTAAGTGTGTACTGTAGACTGACCACTACGTCATGTATGTAAGTGTGTACTGTAGACTGACCCACTACGTCATGTATGTTAGTGTATACTGTAGATTGACCCACTACGTCATGTATGTAAGTGTGTACTGTAGACTGACCCACTATGTCATGTATGTTAGTGTATACTGTAGACTGACCCACTATGTCATGTATGTAAGTGTGTACTGTAGACTGACCCACTATGTCATGTATGTTAGTGTATACTGTAGACTGACCCACTATGTCATGTATGTAAGTGTGTACTGTAGACTGACCCACTACGTCATGTATGTAAGTGTGTACTGTAGACTGACCCACTACGTCATGTATGTTAGTGTATACTGTAGATTGACCCACTGCGTCATGTATGTAAGTGTGTACTGTAGACTGACCCACTACGTCATCATGTATATAGAAGACCCACTAGTGTATGTACTGTAGACTGACCCACTCGTCATGTATGTTAGTGTATACTGTAGACTGACCCACTGCGTCATGTATGTAAGTGTGTACTGTAGACTGACCCACTACGTCATGTATGTAAGTGTATACTGTAGACTGACCCTCTACGTCATGTATGTAAGTGTGTACTGTAGACTGACCCACTACGTCATGTATGTAAGTGTGTACTGTAGACTGACCCACTACGTCATGTATGTTAAGTGTATACTGTAGACTGACCCACTACGTCATGTATGTTAGTGTATACTGTAGACTGACCCACTACGTCATGTATGTAAGTGTGTACTGTAGACTGACCCACTACGTCATGTATGTTAGTGTATACTGTAGACTGACCCACTATGTCATGTATGTAAGTGTGTACTGTAGACTGACCCACTACGTCATGTATGTTAGTGTGTACTGTAGACTGACCCACTACGTCATGTATGTAAGTGTGTACTGTAGACTGACCCACTACGTCATGTATGTAAGTGTGTACTGTAGACTGACCCACTACGTCATGTATGTAAGTGTGTACTGTAGACTGACCCACTATGTCATGTATGTTAGTGTGTACTGTAGACTGACCCACTACGTCATGTATGTAAGTGTGTACTGTAGACTGACCCACTATGTCATGTATGTAAGTGTATACTGTAGACTGACCCACTATGTCATGTATGTAAGTGTGTACTGTAGACTGACCCACTACGTCATGTATGTAAGTGTGTACTGTAGACTGACCCACTACGTCATGTATGTAAGTGTATACTGTAGACTGACCCACTACGTCATGTATGTTAGTGTGTACTGTAGACTGACCCACTACGTCATGTATGTAAGTGTGTACTGTAGACTGACCCACTACGTCATGTATGTAAGTGTGTACTGTAGACTGACCCACTACGTCATGTATGTAAAAGTGTGTACTGTAGACTGACCCACTCGTCATGTATGTAAGTGTGTACTGTAGACTGACCCACTACGTCATGTATGTAAGTGTGTACTGTAGACTGACCCACTACGTCATGTATGTAAGTGTGTACTGTAGACTGACCCACTACGTCATGTATGTAAGTGTGTACTGTAGACTGACCCACTACGTCATGTATGTAAGTGTGTACTGTAGACTGACCCATTACGTCATGTATGTAAGTGTGTACTGTAGACTGACCCACTACGTCATGTATGTAAGTGTGTACTGTAGACTGACCCACTACGTCATGTATGTAAGTGTGTACTGTAGACTGACCCACTACGTCATGTATGTAAGTGTGTACTGTAGACTGACCCACTACGTCATGTATGTAAGTGTGTACTGTAGACTGACCACTTCGTCATGTATGTATGTGTGTACTGTAGACTGACCCACTACGTCATGTATGTAAGTGTGTACTGTAGACTGACCCACTACGTCATGTATGTAAGTGTGTACTGTAGACTGACCCACTACGTCATGTATGTAAGTGTGTACTGTAGACTGACCCACAACGTCATGTATGTAAGTGTGTACTGTAGACTGACCCACTACGTCATGTATGTAAGTGTGTACTGTAGACTGACCCACTACGTCATGTATGTAAGTGTGTACTGTAGACTGACCCACTACGTCATGTATGTAAGTGTGTACTGTAGACTGACCCACTACGTCATGTATGTAAGTGTGTACTGTAGACTGACCCACTGCGTCATGTATGTAAGTGTGTACTGTAGACTGACCCACTACGTCATGTATGTAAGTGTGTACTGTAGAATGACCCACTACGTCATGTATGTAAGTGTGTACTGTAGACTGACCCACTACGTCATGTATGTAAGTGTGTGTACTGTAGACTGACCCACTACGTCATGTATGTAAGTGTGTACTGTAGACTGACCCACTACCTCATGTATGTTAGTGTGTGCTGTAGACTGACCCACTACGTCATGTATGTAAGTGTGTACTGTAGACTGACCCACTACGTCATGTATGTAAGTGTGTACTGTAGACTGACCCACTACGTCATGTATGTAAGTGTGTACTGTAGACTGACCCACTACGTCATGTATGTAAGTGTGTACTGTAGACTGACCCACTACGTCATGTATGTAAGTGTGTACTGTAGACTGACCCACTACGTCATGTATGTAAGTGTGTACTGTAGACTGACCCACTACGTCATGTATGTTAGTGTGTACTGTAGACTGACCCACTCGTCATGTATGTTAAGTGTACTTTAGACTGACCCACTACGTCATGTATGTAAGTGTTTACTGTAGACTGACCCACTCGTCATGTATGTAAGTGTATACTGTAGACTGACCCACTACGTCATGTATGTAAGTGTGTACTGTAGACTGACCCAGTACGACACGTATGTAAATATGCACTGTAGACTGATCCACTTTGTCATGTATGTTAGTGTATCCTGTAGACTGACCCTCTGCGTCATGTATGTAAGTGTGTACTGTAGACTGACCCACTACGTCATGTATGTAAGTGTGTACTGTAGACTGACCCACTACGTCATGTATGTAAGTGTGTACTGTAGACTGACCCACTATGTCATGTATGTAAGTGTGTACTGTAGACTGACCCACTACGTCATGTATGTAAGTGTGTACTGTAGACTGACCCACTACGTCATGTATGTAAGTATGTACTGTAGACTGACCCACTATGTCATGTATGTAAGTGTGTACTGTAGACTGACCCAGTACGACACGTATGTAAATATGCACTGTAGACTGACCCACTTTGTCATGTATGTTAGTGTATCCTGTAGACTGACCCACTGCGTCATGTATGTAAGTGTGTACTGTAGACTGACCCACTACGTCATGTATGTAAGTGTGTACTGTAGACTGACCCAGTACGTCATGTATGTAAGTGTGTACTGTAGACTGACCCACTACGTCATGTATGTAAGTGTGTACTGTAGACGGACCCACTACGTCATGTGTGTACTGTAGACTGACCCACTACTTTATGTATATTAATGTGCACTGTAGACTGATCCTCTGCGTCATGTATGTAAGTGTGTACTGTAGACTGACCCACTACGTCATACATGTAAGTGTGTACTGTAGACTGACCCACTACGTCATGTATGTAAGTGTGTACTGTAGACTGACCCACTACGTCATGTATGTTAGTGTGTACTGTAGACTGACCCACTATGTGATGTATGTGTTCCTCCGTGAAGAAATTTGATTACTGAATGTACTGAAATACACTGATGTAGATGTAATACTGTAGACTGACCCACTACGTCATGTATGATCAAAATGTGTACTGTAGACTGACAACGTCATCAATATTGCCCGCACTGGGGAATGCATGTCATGCATGTAAGTGTTTACTGTAGACTGACCCACTACGTCATGTATGTAAGTGTTTACTGTAGATTTACCCACTACGTCATGCATGTAAGTGTGTACTGTAGACTGACCCACTACGTCATGTAAGTGTGTTCTGTAGACTGACCCACTACGTCATGTATATTAGTGTATACTGTAAACTGACCCACTACGTTATGTATGTAAGTGTGTACTGTAGACTGGCCCAATACGTTTTGTATTTAAGTGTATACTGTAGACTGACCCACTATGTGATGTATCTGTTCCTCGGTGAAGAAGTTTAATTGAATGGAATGAAATACAATTGATAAAAGATATAATAATGAATATAGTATGTTATTATCTAAATATGGTATAAGAAGAAGACAAAGTCATCAATATTCCCCGCAATGGCAAAATACTCTTTATGTATATGTCCACTGGTTATGACTATGTCAAATGTTTTGTTTTGTATTTCAGTGAGTGAGTGAGTTTTATTCCCCACTCAGCAATATTCCAGGAATATGGCAGCGGTCTGTAAATAATCGAATCTAGACCAGACAATCCAGTGATCAACAGCATGAGCATCTATCTGCGACAAATGATATGTGTCGACCAAGTCAGTGACTAAAGTGCAAATAGGAAGGAGAGTGCAGAAAGTTTTTTTTAAGTTCTGCACCGGAAAAGAGCACTACCACCAATTTCTGTCGAAATCAATCTGGTTGCCATGGAAACGCAAAATATATTTTAATCAGAAATCCAAAACTACCAAAAGGCACCAGTACACCACCAGACCTATCGATGTGCCAAGTTTGGGGAAGAAATATTGAACGGTTTTAAGCTTCACCTCCGGGAAAGACAAATGTGCACGGACGGACGGGAGGACGGACGGACGGAGTCCATTCAAATATCCCCGGAAACGCGTTGCGGGGAATAAGAACGGACATTATGAGTTTGTCATACGTATAATTATGCATCGAACTGCATAATATTATTCTGACTGGAATATTTTGACATGATACAATAATGACAGACAGAGACACAGACAGACAGACGGTGTTTTATTTTGTATAAAGGCCTCAAGACCCATGGTACAAAGTTTGTTTGTGTCCAGCTTGCATAGGGAATGGAAGTGGCAGTTACAGTAACATACAGTAAGAAAATACCCGTTACAGAACAGTTTACAATTTGCCATTTTATTAACATCTGGAGATATGCGGAAACGTCTTAAGTGACTATTAATGACCATGTTTAAAGTGTCATTAATTAATCCTCATTTCGTGATACACGACATGGACTTCATCCTCAATAGCATCATTGTGATTATAGAAAACTCATTCATGAATGTGAGTGGTAAAACTGCTTCGAACTAACTACATCTCGATTATTACTACCACCCCAAAACTTCCTTAACAACCGTCTACATTGAAACTCTATGTTAAATAGAGCATATATTTTCACAGGTAAATTTAGATTTTGTTTAGATATATACATGACAATCAAATGAAATATATAGATCCTACGTAGTCCCAGAAAGAACTGTTATTGAACCTCTCAACAGTTTCACTTTCGGGTCACCTACAGACTGGCAATAGCAAAAGAATGACAATAGCACAACTAAATCGATAAAGCGAAACGTAGAATATATTTCTCTTAGGTCCGCCTAGATGTTTTGATATTTGTAAAATCACACTAAAAAAGAATCTAAAGATCACTACTATCCTAGAGAGAACAGTATTTCTACTTTCTCGGCGGACTTGAATAAAATATATTTGAATCACCTAGTTTACATAATTCAGACAACACCAAAACCTAATCGATAAAGCAAGTATACAACAGAATTGTTCAGGTGGGCAGTTTTCTGTACACGGTAAACAGCAAAATCGGTCAGCATTGATGCCAGTATTTATTCCAATGTATATAAAATAACATAAGCCAATACCTAACATATCTTACACAATGAACATCAGACATGTCATCATGTACATACAATAAGAAACATAGAAAGTCAAAACATACATTTATCAGGTAAGTCAACAAGTCTATGTTGAATACAAACAGTTCTCAAAAGCGGGATTCTGGTGATAATTTATCCCCTGATTAAGTCTTGTAATTTAATGGAGGAGTAGGCAGATCTGAGTCCAACACAACGGGGATAGACGGTAGGTGTTGTATAAGGTCAACCCATGTCATACTGACCAAAAATAAAGCCTGGTATTAAAATTGGTGTGGAACTCTAAGAGTGGCACATCCATCTCTACACACCCCTTTGTCAGAGGTAGACCCAGTGTTTGACGACAGTAACTCACACACAATTCAACTTTCAATTTTATACACACAAATAAATGTACATCGGGATAAATTGACCAAGAAAAAAAACACATAGCAAACCCTCTGTGGGGAATTTAAATTATTTACAAACACAACAGGACTGATAGAATAACGAGACAGACAGTTTAGTAGCTACATTTCTCTCCTGACACAAGTACCATGGCACATTTAAACTGGGACATTATATGTCCGCTTCAATCACTTTCATTGTCTAACTGAACTGACATCAACATGTCTATTTTACAGCTACAAATATTATATTTCAATCTCTAGCCTCTACATATGGGTATTTAAATTATTTATTTCACAGAGTAGAAACAAAATATGTCAAGATATTCATGATTTGAAACAACTTTTACTCAATCATCAACTCAGTTGTTAGTTGTGATATGTCCCAGAAATGTATGAAATGTTTCATAAACTGATCAGTTATTACATAATAATAATCATAACAATACTCTTGTGTGGATGTAAAATGCTGCTAGTACACAAATGAAAACTGTCATGTAGAAAACCGACATATTTAGCTAACCTTGTCACATTGTTGTACACAACATACAACACATGAACAGGTAACTTCTATGTCCGCTTCTTTCAGTTCTGTTGTATTGAATTTGTCTGATAAAGTTGATGTGTGATATTTACAAGTTTACACTGGGTCATGTTTAGTTTATTTCTTAGGCCAGGACTTCATTAATGAGTGATTTCTTGATGTCAGACATGAGGATCTCCTCCCCACTGACCACCTTCATGTTTACTGTGAAGTAATCTGACGGATCTACAGCAAACACAGGGAGAAGATCCTCCTTGAACTTCACATCAACTTTCCCTAAAACAACCGACCTGTCTACGTCAATAAATCCTATTCTACCCCTCCCGACATCCAACACAACGCCATAGTGGAGGGTGGCCTGTGTGCCGGGTGTGTCAGACATTGTGTTTCTGTAACACTTCCCCTCCTCCCCCGCCAGATACACCCTGGTACAGAGACTCCCCCGGTGTGTGACACAGCTCCATACACTGACACACAAGGAGCGGCGCTGGTAACAAACATACCCCTCACTGTCTACCTGGCTCTCCTCCCCCACACCCACCTCCAGGACAGGCCACCACCCCCACCCATAACCCACCACACCCACCCTGGTGTTGGTCTCCCAGTATCGTGTTGTGTGGGGGACAGGGGTGACACTAGAGGGGGATGGAGGAAGGGGGATGGGGGTGGAGCTACACGTGCCCCTCAATTCCTGTAGTCTGCCACTGTCCGTGTGTTGTGTGGCGGGCGGCGAGTTGGCCAGCTCACCGTCTGTAGTAACATGGCAGTAGTCTGTGTTGGCTCGACCAGCGTCCAGTTGGAGTTTAGGACCTGGAAATATACAATTGTTATTTTATTGAGTTTAGCAACTGTATTTCCTACAATATATCATTGTATTGTTTGTCCCGTGTCAGTGATTCCAAAACAGCGCACTAAATGTTCGGCTGCCATTTTCGTCCGTCTGTAAATACAACGATACTCGTGCCCTAGATAGTAATAATAACGACATGATACTATCCAGATGGGTATTTAAATTGTTTGTCATACATTTCTACATGCATTGGTAAACACATAAACTCTGTCTGACATACTTTTTACAAAGTTACATTTGACTTTGTTTGCTGTGACTGCAATCACAGAAAATGACACCATGACAGCTTATTACGGAAATATTTCAGCATCCTATCACAATAAAACTGTCATCATGGGTATTCTAACCTCTTGTTATACAACATAGTAAAGAGTGAGACAGGTAGTATTGCTGTATGGCGATATTTTTACATTTGAGTGTTCAACAGACAGAACGTGAACCGGTAACTTCTACGTCCGCTTCAATCACTGAACACAGTTTCATGACACTCGCTATGTGGGGAGGTTGTGTCGTGTCTCGAGGGGGTCAGATATTTGTAAACGAAATGACTATGTATTAAACCGCTACGTTATTATTATTCTTAAGAAATTTGAAATACACACATTCTAACAATAATCCACGATAATCCCACCTGATGTTTCATGATGATTTGCACTATGTTGAAACATACTATCATCTTGTTGATCGAAATATAGTGACTCGACTTTTACTTATTCTCTAACGTTTTTCATACGGGACAGTGCTTCGTATATGTTTAGATATATTGAACAATGAAATTTCAGGCCATCGTGAACCTGTTCCATGTAACCCTTTTCATTAATGTCACAGATCGGCCTAGGTGTTAATGTACCTGGATAGAACAACGGCTTGGATCACATTGGAGACACACAGTACTTGTGCTACCTGAATGTATGCGGAATGCATAAAGCATAACAATTATCCACGCCACCATACATGTCTAACTGAATAGTAAAAGGGCTTGGGTATCCGTGTCGATCCGGGTTAGAATTGATCTTCAGTAAGAGGCGACTTACGGGTTGGATGGTCAGCCTCGCTGACTTGGTGGACACATGCCATTGTATCTCATTTGCCTCAATTGATTTTCATGCTGTTGAACACTGGTCCAGAATTGATTGTTTACAGACGGCGGTCATATAGCTGGAATATTGCTGAGTGCGGCATTAAAGAAAAAAATAATAATTAAAAAAATACAACGGCTTGGGTCTCACTGGAGTGTAATGCGTTCCATGCAATCAGATCTCTTCTAAATTTACTTAACCTGCGTCTATAGTAATAAGGTAATTGTAACAAATAAGGTTCTGAAAATAGTGAATGCTTATACATTATACAGTAATAACCCTTCGATGAGTCAAGAGCAGAGCGACACCATAGCTGCTTAAACTGATCAATGAGAATGAATGGTACAGTATAGGGATACAGGCTACAGGTTGTTTGGCAAAAATTCCCTTGAATTCCTTGAACTCTTCCACCTTGACCTAACGTAGCTGGACATGTTATTGTCATGAAGACATGATTACCTCCTATTGTTGTGATCATATTCATATGTTTTAGTAGTTGAAGTATACATTGTTATGCAATTAGCTGAATAAATATTGCATGAATCTAGTACAGTTGTAATTGTTTTTATACATTTATTATTGTGGTGGAATAGTCTAACTGATGGAGGGGAGTGAGCTAGTAATTAAAAACCATATGACTGGAACAGATTGTGTATTGGACGGGTAGTCAAATTGGGAGTAGTCTAAATAGGAGTGAACGTTCCTTAACTTAAGCATGTACATTTGCAGCAGCGTTCCATCTTCATCTTGGCGGTGTGATAATTGTTAAGTCAGCCTATCAGTTGCTGATGACACGAACTACAAATACATTGTAACTCCAAATAAGACCACTGTTGATGTTTTATATGCTGTGGTCCCGTCAGATGAACAATACTGACACGCCTAGAATTCGCCACCCACAAAAAAAAAACTGCATAAAAGAATAGATTTACTTACAGGTAATGAATCTAGAACCTCTTTTCCCGCTGATGATGTGCATCGTGCCTGAATACCCTGAAACATAGTTGTCATGGTAACACATGGCTTTGTTTCTGTAGACTGATATCACATATACTCCACAGTTTAAAGTGTTAGCGAATCAGAGAGTTTTGATTATCGTCGCTTTGAACATTGTTGGGGTAGGATCACAGGAATATGACACATCTAAGGGTCGCAAATCTACTCAAGCAGCGGCGGTGCTGTAGTCGACATTGGCAACCCATGTCAAAACACAAAATTAGGAAACACAAAATTAAGTGAGCTGCACAGCTCCTATTGTCTTTTACAGTGCAGTGAACTACAATTACTGTTTTAATCAATGTTTTCAACTCTGTTTCTTTTCACATTATCTCACAAGCCAGAAGGGAGACGCCAGAGATGTTAAGTTGTTACATGCATCCCGAATAACACAAAAGTCATTCTGAGTCCTTGCTACACTGTTACATGTCAGAGTAAGCTTTTAACTGCGTGATAACCAACGTGATAATGCGTGATAATTCCAAAGTCGAAATAATTCCAATTAAACATAACAGTTATAGAGCATCTGTTATCTGTCAATGGAATTAAATGGGGACATCTTACGAAACTTCTGAAAATGTTAGTAGCTGTAACCTTTACTTGGAGAAGATTCCAACAACTAAACAACAAATCCCCATGTACAAACCTTTCAGGTATAGGCCACGCTCAGGTGACTCTGAAGGGATGATTGCTCCGATTATGAACTGAAAATGAACGATGAAAGATCGTCACATTGTATTAGTGATATGCATAAATCTAAATGGAAAAGAAGACTTTGAACTGAATCCCACTTCATTTATAATATGGAGCTTATATTCTGATTTCGGGGCATTTGTATGACATTCAACGTACATGCTTAGCAGCTTCAAAAACGTCCTGTGATGTCAGCGGTTCAGGTGCGACTTCCTGTGATGCCAGCTGTTCAGATGCGACTTCCTGTGACGCCAGCAGTTCAAGTCGGAGTCTTTGTGATCCAGATTTCGGGGGGACGGTTCCTGCTGAAAAAAATATTTGAACTGAAATTTCAAAATTTAAAGTCAATAACGTCTCATAAGTTCTTATTTTTATATCAACGACTGCTCTGATATTTCAAAAGGAAGTAGAAAGATGATGTGGTTCATTCGACATTTGATCTGCTTTTCCCGACCTTTATCCATTTATTATCTTGTACCTGTGATGTGATGAATGATCTCCCCAAGCTGATGCCACCGCCCTTCATGTACCTGAAACAACGATGCTTACATCATAAATATCAGAATATAACCTTCGACTTACACAGTAGCTGTGTATATTGAATGTATCTCACAATACAAGTCATAAATGTGTTCAGTGTTAAGAGCCTGTAAAACACTTTCTCAGTAACCTTTTTCATCAGTGTCTTAGATATATTCTTTTTACAAAAGCAGTACATTACCTTCCTGGTGTCTTCCTCTTTTACGGTCAATTGCATATTCCATTTTTGGAGATCTGAAGAGGAAAATACAAACACAGGTTGATTAGAATTTCGTCAAGTCATATAATACATCATACCTTTTGATGAAAGCAACAGGATGTGGTTTCAAACTATGTCATCATTGTGTGGTACACACGATACACACATATTGTTGCAGAGGCTAAATGGCACCACAAATAGAATAGATTTGAAGAGATTATCATTACAAAAGGAACTTACACGATTCAATTAAAGATGTAACTCATACGAGGAATATGGTAAATGTTTTCGATTGTCACTTATGTTTTATCTGTGTACAATGAACTCTTAGCCGAACTTTTAAAAGAGACTTCTTAAAAAGGAAAAGTGTTATTAGGAAAAGTGTTTTGTGTGTTACAATTTTTCGAAAAGTCTAGTTACCCTGTAAAGTAGGTTGTGTATCTGGTATGTCATCCACGTTGAGACTGGAGGCAAGTCCACCAAATGTATCGATGAGTTCCGTGAGAGCTTTCTGACCTTGAAGGTAAGAAGGATATTCGTGTCTTGTGTGTCATCTTCTGGAAGCTCCCTCTTCAGATTTTCATCACTTTTCGTCTGCAGTACATCTGTGAGAGTAATGAGCTCCTCTCGTCTTGTAGATTCAAGTGTTCTCTGGGTGTAGTCTATCGCCGATACCATTGAAGTATGGACGTCATGTAAAGTGTCAAGTTTCTCTTGAACCATTTCTGTTTGGGACTTGGAGACTCATTTGAATTTCCTCCATGAGTTGTCTCTGTCGATGAAGGAACCTTTACAGCAACACTTTTACAAACTTTAGTAGCAGCTTGTTCCAGTCTTCTCTGAGTAGTTCCCAGTTCAGTTTGGTGACTTGTGACAGTTTTCATCCTGCTAGTGACATCTTTCAGTTTATGTTGCTGCTTCTTCACCTGCTCCTCCAGCTGACCCTTCGCTACGTCATAGGCCTGATTCAAGTCTTCATTCTTGTGCTTGTTGTGGGCCCCAAGTTCACATACACGACAGACTGCCTTCTTACAGGTGTGGTCATACAGCTGCAGTTTGTTGTCAGGGTGGTCTCTGCAATTAGGCTCCTTCAGCCACTGCGTCATAGGGATATTCTCTGACTGGTTGATCTCAGTTACTCTGTGATTTCGATTCCTTTTCGGTTTGTCATGGAGTTTATGACAGTCGGAGCAGAGCTTGTCATCACATTCGTGACAGTACACCACAGGCTTTGCATCATGATCCCCTTCGATGTAGTTGCATTTCATCTCACCATCAGCGTGGACTTTATAGGCAGCTTCATTGCGTCTGACATGATCTATTGATGTCTGTTCCATGGTGAAGTCACGGCCACAGGAAGGACAGTGTATGCAGGTCTCTTCCGCCTGTGTAGCTTGGTGATCAAGGCATGGCTTGCAGGCAGAATGAAGGCATGGAAGAAGACGAAGCTGACTCTCATCACAACAGGACTCAGTTGATAACTGGCACACTGTCTCAGTGGAACCTAACAACATACACATGACACGAAAGTTGAGTTGAACTAAACCTAATTAAAAGAAATATATTCACACATATCCATACGCTCTTTTGTTGTAATTAGTGTTACATATACATGACGGATTGTTCATCTGTCTAATGTACCTCCATGTTGGACTTGCTCTGTATTATCCACCCTGTCTGGAGACTGTGACCTTGGAACACCCACTACAGCATCGTATGCCTCCTGTTCTTCCCGCAGTGTCTGAAACGACAGATATCGCTGCACCTCGTTTGTCGTTTTATTATTATGCTGTGCATTATTGTTCGTCTTTATTTCAGACGTTCACCAGATTAAGACTTACAGCACATAACATTATCATCTACCCACCTTCTCCACGTTCTCACATTTTGCTTGAGACTGCTGCAACTCATCATTTGACTTTGACAACGCTGTCTTCACTGAAACGACAAAGATGCGAGGATTGAACAAGATATCAGTTTGTCACATTCCAGTATTTGTTTGTCATGTTTTATTGTAAATATGGTCATCATATCTTTCCCCAAATATGACAAACAGCAATATTACAGGCATCACCATCGACGCTGACAATATAAACTATATTATCGAAATGGCAAATACAATTTATGTTAACATTATTTACTATATTACATTGACGAAATAATGTAAATGATGACATCATAGTAAAGGTGACATCATGAGAGTCGGCCAGTCGCAAATTAGTATCCAATTTCATCAGAGATAATCGGTATCGACATACGAACGATTAGGTTTGACATCGTCATCGATGTATTCTTCTGTCAGCATATTCCTGGCCAGAAAATTTATATTCACAAAAGCCAAGTGAGTTTGACATTTATGTGGGTTATCATCCCACTCCATGATTCTAACGATCCAATAAAGATCATGGTTAAGAATAGTTGATGTGGTGACATTCTCGCTACGTCGCTAACGTTTTATTGCCAGCGGTGAAACCCAGGCAAAATCGTAATTTGTCGGTAAACATTTCACGTAATTCGCGCACAGGCCGTCCCTGGTGTTGCCTGGCCCCGTCGATCTACACTCTGCACCTCTATCATTCCCACAATTCGTGATTTTGTCTGGTCATATCTCTGAGGTGCCTGGTTGCATTTTGCGATTGTGAGTTACTCCATGGGCGCACACATTTTGGCTTCTGTGTGCACACGCTTAGAACTAATGTTGCCTTCAGATGCAATACTTTGATGAGGTAAATATACATGTCAACTACATGTACATCCAGGTCATTAGTTCTCACATTTGTTTGCTGGCAATATATACTGTAGAAAATAAGTATCAGCTTACGAGTTTCAATTTCCTCGTTCTTCCCTTCTGTCTCTGACATGTGTTCATCAATTTCTTTCTTCATTCTTTCCTCCAGTTCAGCATGATCAATGTTGTTTTGTTCAATGTGTTTCTCAAGTCCTTCTATTGCCTGGAAATAAACGTGAACGCCCGGTAAACAAGTAGATAACGACTTCTTGTAAACAAATCACCTGCCATTTTATCAGATTACACGTCTTATATAACCTTCAAAGTTGCTGAAAGAGTACGTTTTAGGTTTACTACCGTTGGGAAACACTAAACGCGATTGCAGTAATAATCCTATCAATTTTCGACTATTCACAAGACAAACGTCATTTAAACTAAATAGGAATACAAGATTGCAACGCATAATCACAACTTACAGATTTCATGTCAGCTATCTCCTTTTTGTACTGAGCTTCCAGTTTGTCCTTGTTAACATAGACGAGATCTGGGTTACCTAAAAATATAAAAAATTCTTTTTTTAAGAAAACGGTGTCACAGGATTTATCATATGAAGCGCACAGGGGAATATTCTGGTCAGTTTTCATTTGGTTGCGTGTCTGTTATAGTGTTCGTTTAATATATTCCTGAAAACTTAAATATCTCACTGTGAAAGGCATTCTTGATCGCCACAGATATCTAAGGGACATCTTGGAGAAAATTATAGTGCCACATTTTTAAATGAGAACACTCGGCTGACAAAAAGACGTGCAGTGATGGATTTCCTACGTCTGGAGGCAATAATGTTCAACACGTCCATGGCCAACACAAAGTCAAGACAGGAACAAGCGCTCGACGAAGTAAAACAGACCGTGTCTGATTCTGTCGGTACGAAAACATTTCAGTCAGTCATCCATGTGAGTAGTGGCTGCACATGATGCTGACATTATGACCTCTTCTGGTAGCTTCAGCCAGCGATTATGAAATACAGCTTGATGCAGCCATTGAGGATGATGGGCGGGTACAAATGTGGCCCAGGGCAGAAAAACTGACTGGCATGAAACTGTCTTTCTGTTAGAGTTGACTGCTGTCGCCTTTGTGACATTTGTAATCTCTTGGTACATAAAGTGAAGCGTCGCTATAATAACCAGCTACTGCCAGTATTTATGTATTTATGCTATATATATACAGTTATAACATTCTTACTTTATTAGGTTCACTTAGCAAATCCATGTCTGTGATGCTTAGATTATTTGCAATATTTGTATATTCATCAAGAAACCCTTGGAAGGTTTGCCTACCTTCTTCATTAGAGGTCTTATCAAGTCTTTCCTTGATGAAAGGCTGAGTAGTGTCGAGGACAGCACAGAGCGTCTTGTAACCTTCTACTCCCTTCTTTTTAAGCGTCTCCAACACCATCTCACATTTCTCTGTCCCAGCTTGTCTACATCTATCATAGTCTGTCTGTGTGAAGATACATTTCTCATACAAGGCATCCAGCACAGGGTCGACCTGAAGGTTCTCCTTCAGAAATGTGTGGTTCTTCTGAAGGACAGCAACGTGGGAAAGGTCCATTCTGTATAGCAAGTGGTATAAATATCTGTAACAGCAAAATCACACGTTATCAATAAGAGGTATGCTTACTGTCTTCTATATTTAATATTTATGAAATATAGGGATTTATAATGAGTTTCGTGGTGGTAGAATGCAAACATATCAGCCACAAAAAGAAACTGTACATTGTTAAAATATCTCCAAATTTGAAAACATAACAACAGTTTTCACCTAAACTGTAATGGGTGGATATAGAGATCATAAAAAGATGGCAGAACAGCATGTTTAAAGTTATCTGGTGGATATGGAATTGGTACGCCACAGATGCCACTTCATTTCATTGCCAACATTCTTTATAGGAGAGAGATCCAATGCATTTGCGGGCCAAGGCAGTACTTGAACATTGTGCCGTTGAAGAAAAGCCACAACAACCCTATCCGTGTGAGGACAGGCATTGTCATGTTTGGATGTCAATCCCGGGTTAAATTGCCTCTGGTTCGAGAATCTGATGTCTGTAGCCCACATCAGTCAAATTGTCCTGACAACTAAACGTATTCTCTGACGTGCATTTATCTCATCCAAAAGTTACTGAACCACCACTAACAGCGATTCCTCTCCTTGGCATTGTCTTGCGCAAATACTCCCCACGACGCCGGTAGACACGTTGACGTCAGTCACTACGGGAACAGTTAAATGTGGACTTGTCTGCAAAGCCAACAGTCCTCCATCACAAATAAGGTACACGGAGATGATTTCGACAAGCCTTTGGCTGTTTTCTCGATGTCGTCGTATCACGATAGGTCGTATGGCGGGACGACGTGGTTGCATCCCATAATGACGTTGAAGCTTTCCCTGACTTTGTCGCCGAGTCCAAGAATGGTCTGAGCAGTAGTAACAGTGGTGAACACTGCATTCCGGGATATGAGAATCACCCATATCCATCTGTCATGTTTCGGTGCCGTGGCGCATGTGTCTATGCCGAAACCACTGACATCTAGAAACGAAGCACATGTATATCTCCTTAATTCAGTTCCTTAAATACTATGTTTTCACCGAAATAGTTGTGTGCATATGTAGTTCCAATGTAAACTAAAGGGCAAAAGAAGCGATACCAAGGAAGCTTTTAACTGTAACTTTGAGGAACCACACAATATCATTTATATATGCGAAACAGATGTGTCGTCAATATAAATCATGAGAATATATAATTATCAGTATCTCGAATGTCCGCCACGGGCATCAACACAGGACCCAGGTCTACATCGTGCTGAGAATGTCAAACTCTTGATAACGAGCAGAGATATTCTTCGTTACATCGTGAAGAGCCAGGAAAAGCTGCTGTCTGTTTCTCGGCATCACAGGTCTTGCACGAAATTTTGAATCCAAATGATCCCAAAGATGCTCAGGTGGTGACTTGCAGGTGACCATGCAGGCTAGTGTGCGTGTGTGTGCGTGCGTGCGTGCGGGCATGCTTGCGGAAAGAAAACCACATCAGCTGGAAGTAATTAGAAATATTTTATGTAGCTGCACCTTAAGTCGTTACAGCTCCTTATAAACACTCGAACACAATTAGTGAACCTAATATCCATCATGGCTAGCTACTGTCTTGAATACATTCAAGGATTCGAACATTAATCTGTGTTCCTAGCTATTAAATAGGTCTACAAAACTAGACGTCCAGGTGACCAAGAAATTCCTATTTTCAAGAGTCCTTACAGGGAAGTTTTGGTTCTTACGAAGTAATGATTTAATGTATTGTACTGTATATTAAGACGTAATAACTACATTATTCAGGTATCTGGTAGTTTCCCTCAGAATGCAATATATTTGTTTCGGCGCAATTGTTTAAGGTTCCTGTGAACTAGAACACATCTGCTTCACATAAATCCCTACTCTGGGAATAACCTTGATATGACACAAGAAAAAAACACCACACAACCCAATATGTCCACTGCCATGTTGAACAATGACTCGAACCTGGAACATCAAGGACAAGGGGCACGCAGCATATCTAACCCGTCTGTTCAAAGTATGAACGCCTATTGAGCCAGATACTGTTGAAAATAAGTCAGTGTTCAGTTATGTGAAATTCGAATATATCGATATGGAGAAAAAGCGAGAATTTGTGGTCAGTCCAGTCCGCATGATAAGCGGTGTTAAGAATGCTGTCTGACGACATACATGATCCGTGCAGCTTTTAATACTGTGTGAAGTCAAATTAAGTTCACGGTGTTCTCACTGCTACTGCAATCACAAAGATTTATGCATGTGTCAATTGAATGTGGAGGCGAACAAAGAGATGGTCTTTAATTGTAGGTACATGTATATAATGTCAGAAACAGAAACGGCACCCAGACATACACTTTGATTCAATTTTTTCAAACCACAATTTGTTTATACAAATTTTACAGTCAGGTATGTAATGTCAGAAACAGAAACGCTACCCAGACACACTTTTTGATTCAATTCTTTCAAACCACAATTTGATTTTACAAAATTTACAGGCAGGTATGTAATGTCAGAAACAGAAACGGCACCCAAACATACACTTTGATTCAATTCCTATAATAATATCAATAAATAATGGCAGAAGACAGATGTAGCAACCATAGCGAGAGAGTTCAGGGACATATTACGCAATGTGGGCATATATAAGGTAGTGTTGCTTAACAGTAAATCTAGTTTAGCGCAGTATAAACACATGAGCTTGTTTACATATTTCTCTGTTTAGGGAACCGGGGGGTAAGAGGATGTGTACAGCCTGTGAGTGATTCCGTACAATTACCCTCTATTTACAACATCTAGTTCATACCGGATCCATACACAGAGGGAATTGCCCAAGCCATATGACGACCTGACCTCACTGTTCACAAGGACTGTAGCTTGACCAGTTAACGAAAATAAATAAAAAAGGAATAATTCAACTGGGTCCTACCTGATCTATGTCTTCTGTGTGCTTGCAGGTCCCATAAGTTAAAGTCGTCCTCGGGTAGACTACTTTCTCCAGAATAATGACAGACGTTGTTTGTCAGTCTGCGCTTCTGGTCCTCTGTGCCCAGCCTGAATAATGACAGACGGTGTTTGTCGATCAGCCCTTCTGGTCCTCTGTGCCCAGCCAGAATGAAATGTGTTACATCAAGGAGGCGACTAGAACTCGCAATACAAAGAAAGCGCCAAAGTACACGTCACGTGATTACTAACGTAACACCCCATTTCAGGGGAAATCGATGGCCTACGTGCAGCACGACAGGACTTTCAGGTTACAATTGTATACGACAGCAAAGGTAGGTCAGTCGTATCAACATGGCATGCAGTTGGATATTATGTCTAGTGCTTTCTTTGTGCAGTTGTCATGACTCGCTGGCTTTGACAGGCAATGTGTTCTTAAGAACCGATATGGCTTTTGATCTATAGTCTAATGTTTTGCTTCTTCTTTGGCAATTATCACTGTACTATGGCCAGCATGCATTGACTAACAAGAAAGGTCCACACACTGAATTCACTTACTGAGGTATGGTGGTTGAGAGAAGAATTACAGGATTGGATTTAATGCTGTTTTGAAAACTTATTCATGATCATTTATATCACCGCGTGCTAGATTAGTGAGGTATGAAAGACTGAAATGGTTCGCCCCATAACGTTAATGCCTGACTGACATAACCAGCACAATGCAACACCTGGTCCATACAGAAAGAGTTGAGACAGACAGTTTTTCCCATGAAGGACTAGTTGAATACATCTTTAAAGGAAGTCTGCAAAAGCACTCTAAGTCCCTGTGGTCCCTAGTATGGTTGATCTAACTTCAGTTGTTGGTAATCTTTAACCTTTTTTATATTGTTTTGTCCACAGAAAAAACAACTAGGATACACAGATATAATTTTAACTACTAGGTTTAATTTTATATCTGTGATATCCTAGATGTTTCTACTGTCCTTCATTGACAGGTTTTACTCTTCAACATGTCTTCATCTTTATTGTATGAATTGATTTCGTCACGATATGGCTGAGACATTGCCGACGTGATGTTAAATATCAATTTAAAGTTGTGAAAAGCCGTCCAATGGCACCTTTAACGACACCCTATATCAACATATATCAGTTTCAGATCACAGTGGTATGGGGCAAGTACACTGACATTGACATTTGATGACCAAATCCACTTGCTCAGATTAATGATGGCATTTTCATCTGTCACAGCCACGTCACCATAACTCCGATTAGGCTATTAGGTGTCAGGGCCTTGCTGCTTAGATCCTGCTGTTTGGATCCTGCTGCTTGGATCCTGCTGCTTGGATCCTGCTGTTTTGATCCTGCTGCTTGGATCCTGCTGTTTTGATCCTGCCGCTTGGATCCTGCTGTTTGGATCCTGCTGCTTGGATCCTGTTGATTTGATCCTGCTGCTTGGATCCTGCTGTTTGGATCCTGCTGCTTGGATCCTGCTGCTTGGATCCTGCTGATTTGATCCTGCCGCTTGGATCCTGCTGTTTGGATCCTGCTGCTTGGATCCTGCTGATTTGATCCTGCCGCTTGGATCCTGCTGTTTGGATCCTGCTGTTTGGATCCTGCACGACTGTGATGCATTGTCCAAGACAATGGGTGGATTGCAAGCAAAGCGATGACCAATGTATTCTCCACTCACTGAAGAAAGACCTCACCATTTGCTTCAGTGTGATGGTCCCTGTCGTTCTTGGCATTGGTGCGAAAGACTAGGTCACATCCTTGGAGAAAACACGGTCAGCATAGAGAATGATAAGTCTTTCACCTATTCCCATTGATGATATTCTCCCAGAATCTTCTGTCCTCACTGGGTACCCACTGACCCCTGGTTGCGTGAGAGGCATGTACAAATGGAAAACAGGCTCATTCTTCACCGTTCTGCTTGAAGTATTGTTTCTTTAAAATCTATTTTCCAGTGAAAGTATAAAAATACAAAAAATGCAGATATTTTAATGTACAGTGTGTTTATTCCCCTGAAGTATCGATTAGGAAAAATTCACTAGCTAAATTGCTCACTTTAAATGGAATTGTCGTCCACATATTTGAAAATTCTAAGTTGGCTGAGTAGAGAGTGGCCATTGTTCCCCGGACATAATATCGTTGATACACAATGCCGTATAGTACTACATCTTTGTCACAATATAATGTGGATACCTGAGTCTGCTATGGGGGTGACACTAATCAGCCACCATACAAATCTGTAAGACGAATTTATTTTCCCATAGCCATTTTTCCTATTCCAATTTAAGTTTTTGCTCCAGTCATATCCAAAGCATCTTCATTCGAAAATATATTCCAGTAACCAGTTAAGTGCTGACACTCTTCTTGCCAAGGGCTTTACGCTTATTGCATTTAAAGTTACTAACATTTGTCCCTACTCGGCCACTTCAGACTTTTCGGCGAAGAGACTTGTTCCATACAAGAATGGTTTTCCATACAAGAGTCCATACTATGCTTAGTTGGTCTACACAGTTCAGGAGCTTCATGGTTACATTGTTTTACAATACATGACCCTGCCCTATAACGCAATACTCTACATGAAATACCTAGTTCCTCACTGAAAGTGGGTGAATGTGGAGTCTAGATGCCATGTAACAAGACATGCCGTGTCTATAAAATATAACTAAAAGAAGGAAAGATACCTAAAATAGAACTAGAAATAATACAATATGCAGGAGGTATAGTGGGAGTGTTTCTATTCATGGAGGTGTTTTCATTCTTCAAAGGGGGAGTGTTATGATCTTGAGGGGAGTTATGTTCTTATTCTGGGGTGAAACTATCCTAGATTGATATGTTTCATGGTGGGAAAAGCAATCAAAGAATAGTACAACAATCAAAGACACACACACACACACACACACACACACACACACACACACACACAAGCACACACACAAGCACACACACACATTCACACAAGCACATACATTCACACAAGCACACACGCACAGGCACAAACGCAAGCACTCACGCACAGGCACAAGCTCAAGCACTCACGCAAGCCTTCGTCAGTCCAGGCATCGTTGATCTGAAAAATACACTTTTGCAAGATGCTTCATTTCATAATGTTTAAGTGCACCTACATAACGTGCAACGACTAACGCCACCCTATGAAGGGAAATCGGTTGCCTCAAGTTCCTTTGTTGCCATGGCGTGAATTTCAGTTGCAATTGTGTAGAGTGACAAAGTTAAGTTTAAGGCTATTTTGTGTCGTGGTTGCCTTGACAACTCATTAACGTGTTGTCATCAGTATGTCATGGACGAGAAGACGCGGCAAACCTGGCAGCATGTTTTCTGCAAGATATACTTTTCCCTTCTGTCAAGATGATGATAACATATACAGTATGGTGTAGGATGAGTGTGTGTATATATGTACACAAAGTCAGATTCTGCTGAGCCAATAATGCGAAACAGGGGACAGATTTTTATATGCCTTGAGGGATTAGAAAAAATGTCATCATGGTGTGCACGAAAGGGAACAACAACAACAACAACAACAACAACAACTGACACCACAGAAATGCAGTGTCATTGCCATGTATTTACATGGTTCAGGTTGTCATGTCAGTGAGTAAGTGAGTTAGTGAGGGATTAAGTTTTGTTTTAGTCACATTTATACAATATAACTATACCACCAACAAAGAACAGTATAGACAGACAGACAGACAGATTATATTTAGTAACATTGGACTACTGGCCCATGTTACATTTGTTGTGGCAACATCTTGTTGTCACGTGATAAGCAAATAGAAGAAATGATTTAAACATGAATTCAAACATTCTTGGAAAGTACAGACTTTAGAAAAATGGCTATTGCTTTAACGTTCTGTGGTGTGAAGTCAACACATTTATCATTTGGTATTTACATACACATTTGCCATTGAGAAATGGTAAATATTTTATTCTCAAATCATTGAATTTTGGACATTGGAGTAAAATACATGAACTTCATCCTGAACTTGTCCACCGTTACAGTGGTTACATAAAGTGTGCTGTGTTTCAGATCCTTGTTTCGTCTGGTTACACTCACATTTAGATTAACCCGTGCAGGTCCGCGTTAGAATTGATCTTAAGTAACCCATGCTTTTCGCAAGAGGCGACTAACAGGATCATTTGGTCAGGCTCGCTGACTTGGTTGACACATGTCATCGGTTCCCAACTGCGCAGATCGATGTTCATGCTGTTGATCACTGGATTGTCTGATCTAGACTCGAATATTTACAGACCGCCGCAATGTAGCTGGAATATTGCTGAGTGCGGTGTAAAACTAAACTCACTCACTTACTCACTCGCATTTAGATTATGTGGAGTAGTTCAGAATTTACAAAATATCTTCGGTAACGAAGCATGTGATACAATCCTTATTTTACAATACAATAATTACTAATATGTGACGATTGTACATTGCCATGGCGAGGTTGGACATAAATACTTTAATCATTGCTTCAACACATACAAAAACAACTTTTCATCTCCTACATTTTGATATAACCATACATGTGAATACCACAGGCAAACAATACAAGACGGATATCTGAACCCAATTCCTTTTACCTCTATCATCTAGTTCTTTCAACAGTTTATAACATTGGTCTGGATATCTGTTTTCACAAATTCTGACCAGTTTAATCCAACATTTAACAGCTCTCTACCTACACTCACATACAAAAGATACGTCACGAGTTTTTATCAACTACCAAACAACACAAGCTCAAACACGAATAGATATGCACGTTTACTATGCATAACGAAGGTGTATGTAAAGCATGTCTGACATAAAGAAAGAGAACGTGGTAAACCTAACAGTGGTACAGGGAATGTTGTCAGATGGGGGTCGAGTGTCCAGTATTCGAGCGCAAGCCAAAACAACCAATGACAAAACAGAGGTTGAAATGGGAAGGCAGATCGTCAATACTGCGCATGTCCACCCCTAACATCGGTGCACGTCAGAACACGTCGTCGGGCCGAGTGTGTAAGTCTCCTGATCACGTGACTGGGGATCCGACGCACTTCTGTCTGTCATGCCTGAGCCAGTACATTTCTCGTCAATGGAGGGTGTGGAAGCTGTAGAATCCGACGTCCAAGATGGCCCCACAAGTGCTCTGTCGGAGACATGTCAGGGGATCTTCGTGGCAAAGGCTGTACAGGCACGTTGTTGACGCTGAGAAAGGCCGTTGTGACATAAGCGGTGTGAGGTGTTCTATTGTCTTCTTGAAA